AGAGGGGTCTTTTGCATTCTTTAATGGAGTTGTCTTCCTTGCACTCATTGTGTTCCCGCATACGTGTTCCATACCACCCCCCATACTCAGGGAGCAAACACCTTCACTAGAGACCGAGGAGAGAACATAACAAGGAAAGTGTGGAGAAGGGATGAGCCCTCCCCATAGAACAGCAATGTTTTTTGCCAAGGTAGGTTTGTGTTATCCCATCAGATCCTGCATCAAGAATCAAAAGTTTCCAAACAGGCTTTCACTGCAGAACAGAGTCATTCGGGTCAAACTCACCAATTGGTGTGCTGTGTCTTCTGGGTCCCATTTTAAGCTGGCCAATAAGAGGTGGCGTTACGCTGGTCAAGGGCTGAATGACATCACCCTCCTTCGGCAAAGTAAAATGAAATGGGGTTCCTGTAAGACAGAGCGCGCCAGGATTAGTAATTTCAGGGGACTACTTTGGTCCAAATACCAAAAGCACAGGTTCACTGTGCTGTGGAAATGGGAAAAAGCATAATCCTGGTGCTGTCCTGTACAACCCGCGCCTGAACAGTTACTGTTTCAGGACAGCTGCTCTAACTGATCCTCCTCACCTTTTGTGTGGAAAATCTCTCTCGGTGAAAATCTGGGCTGTGGTCAATTTGATGCAGCTGTCCCCAGGTGCTAGATAAAAGTGAGACTAAATATCCTGACATGAATAGGACTTTTACAGAATGCAGCTTTGCTTCAGAAATGCTCAGGATTTTCCACAGAAAAGGGAGGTGACACCAGAAACAGAAGTGAAGGTTAGGACAGAAGTGAATAGGCAGGGCTGTGTGTTGCCTGAATTAATAACCTGAAACTTATACAGAATGATGCTTTATCATCAAACCACCTTGGATAAAAGGTCAGCAGATACACTTCAGATAGCCACCTATAAGCCCAAACAATTAGTAGCAGTCAATTAAGGTTTAGACGATGACAGCAGAAACTTGCCTGGAAAGTAAGCTTTAAGAGAAATAACAGATACTGCAGTTTCATAACCAGCTACAGGCTGCCACCAGAAGGGCTGGCCCCATCCTCCTGTCCTCTCCAATACTTCTGCCCCTTCTTGTGCAGTCTCCAGCACAAAGGGCCTGCAGGGTCTATTGGCTGAGGTAGCCTATCCCATCAGGGAAACCACGCCTTGGTGTATTTACCACGTGTGGATCTTGCAGGATTTAACAGATAAAATACATTAAAAACCTAGTAAAATGCTCCCTCCTTTTGTCTCACCCCATGCCTTTTATTTGCAAACCTTCAACACCATATATCAGTAATTTGCAGGCTGCATTCTTTCCAAATTGCATAGAAGTATTTAACAAAACTAACAGAATAACCCTTTCCTCCCCACACTGAGGTCAAAATAGGTTTTCATCGTCTTTGTCACTATCCTTCCTTTTCCCTTTTTCCTAAAACTGTATTTGTTCTTCGGATTTCATTCAAGATATTACTCGAATAATGCAAGTGACAATTTACATAACTCCTAACTTTTAAGAAGCACGTATTAAAAAAACCCCAAAACTAAACAGCTTTGGAAAATTGTTAGTTAAGGTCATGAGAACACAAATTCAAGTTACTTAAATTCAAGAGCTAGCACTAGATATTCAGCTACAAGTTTTAGTTATAGCCAGATGCAGTGCATCATTCTTCAGTTACACAAGACGCTGACATATGATTTACACAACTACCTTGTGGCAAATGAAGCCATAAATACATGACAAAGACATCATCCCCTCACAGAAAAAAATCCGACCAGTGAAAAGCTATCTATTGTCCATTTGAAAACCATCACTGGCCCTACTGTCACAAGTTTTAAAGATACGCTTCAGCAATTGCAACATCCTTGAGATCAACCTAAGGACTTCAGTGTATTTTTGCAGCGGGTAGGTATTTCATAGTGCAATGGTACTCACACTTTGTGGGTACACCACATATCAAAAGGCCAACTACCATTCCTCACAAACAGTTTATGCATGCCTGTCATATCACGACCTATAGCAGATCTCAATTTAAAGTGTTTTATTTAAAAACTGATGTTTTTAGAAACTCCACTGAATTTTGATCAATTACAATCCCTTCTAGCTACCACAATCCCTTCTAGCCCACAAATCCACATTCTGCAGGCTAATAACAAATGATCAAAAGAATTTATGAAATGATCAGCCTGCATTTTAATAAGATAACCTTGTTACTAAACCAACAGATACCGTTAGAGAAAACAAACAAGCTTTCACACTCAGAAGACCTGAAAAAAATCTGTATGCCTGAAAGCTTAATTGCTTTCACGTAACTGCATCAACTGTTGCAACAATGAAAAAGGTTAATTCTCTCTACAAACTTTTCTTGGGGCCTTAAGACCATCATCCTATAACATTTCCTTTTACCTTCCAGCATCAAAAGATTGGGTCTTTCTTTGGCCCACTTTGTCTCTCTCAAGTTTGCTAATGCTAAGGTATAAAAAATTTCATTTGCTTGGCTAACACTTTCACAGGGAGAGTTGGATGTTTCTAGCACAAAACTGCACCCTCATAATGGAAGGAGACAAAGGAATCTCCCAACTCTGTGTCAAACTAAGTGAATCAGAGCTATCATCCTCTTCTCTTCTAGATGAAAAGGTTAAGTCCCACTGCCTTTTCTGCATACTGTGATGCTTCTTGCACACTACTACTACATGCATGGCCAACCTGCAGCTCTCAAGCAGTTCAAGCGCAGCTCCCTCTGCTCTCCTTCTTCTCTCCTACCCATCACCTCTACAAGGGATGTGGCACATCTACTGTGGCTCTCAGCCACATGAAGATCTACAGAGAAGGCTAGTAGTAGTGGATGGCCACTCTGTTTTCTGTACACACAGAAAGGAGGGAAAAAAAAACCAAACCCATCACCCCAAAGAACCCCATGCCTTCTATTTAAGAACTTTTACCTTCTTTTTCAAAAAGCCCTTTCTTAACTCGGTTCTTAACTCACTAGCACAACTATTTAATAGACAGGACAAAAGCTTGATTACATACATTTTTCTCCATTGGTAATTCATATCTAGCTGTGATATATCAAAAGGACCCCATTAGAAAATAAGAAACAACTTTATTTCCAGAAGTCTTCCAGATTAAGTCATCACTCTAGCCAAGTCTAAGGCAATGTTAAAAAGATTGAAGAGCTTGACCACGCAACTCTTTGTTATTTTAATAAATATACTAACTTCTTATTTAACCTGGTATGCTTAAACTTTATCATAACTATGTTGACTGCACTGCTTATCTGTTTCTTCTTTATTTTATATCACCAGTAAAAAGATAACTTTCTGAATAAGGTTTTGTATGTACAAAACTGTACAATCTCCAAAAAGATTTCACAGACAACCACAACTTCTATAAACCCCACAGAGTCCTAGAAACAGGCTTCAGTGAGTAAATTTCTTTTCCATACCCCTATATTCTACCATGTTCTAACCTTTGAGCATTTTTTAGTGGAGTAACTAAATAGTTAATATCTTACTCAAGGCAACTTCAAAAAGAAAAAGACATCCCCCAAACCTCACCATCCAGTTTCTACTCCTGCTTCTTGGACTCTTCCCCAAGATCATTCTAGTCCTCACCCAAAGTTTGTGCTTACTGATGTATGCTTCATAATCTGTTGATAAGGGATTAGACTCCTGTTGGAAATAACTATTATGAGAACAAAGCTGCTTTAAGAGAAGAGGGATGCTCTCAAGCTCTTCATGTCTTAAGGACTGAGTGACAGTAACAGAACAAATATCAGTCTACATACTTTTCCACCATGTTCATGAGCCTGAAGACAGCAGGCAGAACATCTCAAAAGCCTGAACTCTCTCCTAACACCAATCAACCCTTTAGTGTAATACAAATGCGCAAAACACAGCCACCAGCATTAATTTCTGAGTTCATTTTCTCCAAACAGCGACTTACTGTTCTCTTTCAAAAGTAAATCCAGCCAAGTGTGATGCGTTTAAGTTGCATTTAGATTTATCCAAGAAAAAATGTTTCGAGTACAATATAACAAGGGAAATGTTACCTCAAGTTAAACACAATTTTGTTCACGCTCTCTTAAAAAGGAAGTTTTGGATTGTGAACTCTGTGAAAGGCCATACTGAAGTGGAACGTAACATTCAACCTTGTTATGTAACTACAGCTACTCGTCTTTATAGAATCATAGAATAGTTTGGGTTGCGTCAAAAATTTCTCCCTTATATCTAGTCTCAATCTACCCCCCTTCAGTTTAAAGCCATTCCCCCTTGTCCTGTCGCAACAGGCCCCGCTAAAAAGTTTGCCACCATCTTTTTTATAAGCCCCCTTTAAGTACTGATAGGCTTATAGACAGTAAGGTCTCCCCGAAGCCTTCTCTTCACAAGGTTGAACAACCCCAACTCTCTCAGCCTTTCCTCAAAGGAGAGGTGTTCCATCCCCCTGAGCATTTTTGTGACCCTCCTCTGGACCCGCTCC